GATCACCGGTGATCACCGCGAGATGCATGCCGGTTAGAAAAGTGTCCGAGTTAGGTCCGACTTGTTCTGATGTCATGCTGACTTGTGCCAAAAAACTCTTGCGACAGCGAGGTGGCTGTGTCGGATTGCGCAGTCGAGCGCAGTTGCTCTTTAGCGACTGCGCTGATAAAAAGCATGATGGGAAACGACTGACTGATGACACAGCTTAATGCTCATTGGTTCAGGCAAAAGTGATGCTGCATTCTCTACTAAAATGTTATATTTTTTTATCTGATTTCATGTGATTATGTGTTTAAATTATGCATGAATATTCCCAAACACTTTAACAGTGCGATCTCTGTGTGAGATATCTGATTGTCATATTTCTATAAAAATCTAAAATATATGTTTGTATTACAGTAAAAATGGATGATAAATACACCTTTCGTATGGAATATTATGTGTTTAAATTATGCATGAATATTCCCAAACACTTTAACAGTGCGATCTCTGTGTGAGATATCTGATTGTCATATTTCTATAAAAATCTAAAATATATGTTTGTATTACAGTAAAAATGGATGATAAATACGCCTTTCGTATCGAATTAAATAGCAAGCACTTTGAGTGTCTTGTTCATATTTATTTTCGTATAAAAGCAACAGAACTGAAATTATATCGCGTTTATTAGCAACAACGCACGTGCGTGAGAATAACGCGATATCTGTCTTTGATCTCGTTGGTATCTGTTCCACTTCGAGAGGTCAGAAATGTCCGTCTTGACTGCACTTATTTCACTCCTCCCCTCACTGCAGCCGCCTACTCTCGCCTACATTTCAGGTGAGGCGAGGCACATCTCAAACAAGCCTATTATTAGGTCTCATTCACTATTACTGGGGGGATTATTTATACACGCATTAATAAAATGATTAAAATTTCCACCTAATTCACAACACGTACATACAGACATTAATTATGTTATGTTATTAACATGCCCCGTAGGTGGGGTACATTGTAACATCTGAGGGGCACGTTGTAACATGACCATAAAACAGCTTAAAATGTTATCTGATCGAATGAAAAAAATATACAAGACAAACTAAAATATTTTGTTAATAAAATTTTTAAAAAAAAAATTTCTAATAAAATAATGGCGTTTTTTAAGAATTAAAAATAATGTGATTTTGGAGTTTGACAATGAACACATTGCAATCATGCTTGGGATGGTAAAAATGCTTTACATGTCTTGAAATAATAATTTCTAAACATTAAACATTGACTGTCAGTCTTTATTCACTTGTTTCTCATTAAAATTCATTAAAGTAAATGGTGTAAAATTACATCGCTAATGTCATAGAATAGCACATTGTAACGCAGTGTTACAACGTGCCCCATCTGCGCAACTGGAGTTTAAAACCATGTCTTCTGCTAGTTAGCGAAGCATTAAAAAAACTATCTAAACTGATAAATAACAGATTGGTGATTAAAATAATAGCAGATTTGTCTCATTTTAAATGATTAATAAAAACAGAGATGAAAAATTTACTTAAGCCAGAATTTTAATTTTACTATGGTAAAATAAATGTTCATTGATATCTTCAAAAGATTTTTGAATTTTGACACACTTTTTTTCTATATAATGTTGATATGGTAACTAATAAATACTGTAAATTTTGTTATGCTAGCATGTGTGGAATATTCAAACCATGTGTGTTACAACTAACCCCGTGTTACTTTGTGCCCCGCGCTCCCCTAGTATTCTAGCATATTAACAAGTTAAGTAATTTACATAAAATGTGCACAATCATCTACATTTAAGGGATTTATATTCAACATAAAATATCTACATAAAAAAATCTAATTTAACACGTTTAAAAGTCCACCCAGAATATGTGCACAAATATCAGGTGTTAAATTTTCATGCATTGCATGTGTCACAAATAACACCTCATGTGCATCTCAAAACAAAAGCAACCACAGATACTTGCCACAACAGGATGCGTTAGCGCTTAAAGGTGTTAACGTGCATGTTCTGCCAAAGTTTAAAGTTGATGCATGTGAAAGATGCTTTTGACAGTCAAAAACAGAGGTAGGAAGTGTAACCTGCACACATGGAGGTGTAACCAAAATGTACCTGCTTGTGTGTGCAAAGGGGAGACTAGATCTAGTAGATTAGTAGACCAACCGCTAAAAAACAAGGTAAACAACATCTAAACTGACAGATTATTTCTTGTTTTAATATTAATTTAATCAAAAACTAATTATTTTAATAATTTCTGTAAATGAAATATGAAAAAAATTGCATTGTCATCATTGTAGCATATGCGTTCTGTTGAATATCGTCTTGGATAATGAGTCCAAAAGATTGAGATCCACTATACTAGATTTTTCTACTTTGACCTGGATAACTGAGAATCTACACAACCCTAAACTAGATATGACACCTACAAGATACACGCAACATAATTTCCACAGCATTACATTGTTTGTCTAATTACATTTTACAGGACATTTTCCTTTGGTGTGTTCTGGCTTGCAATTCAAGCGTAGTTCTTGAGTTACAGCACTCAAATTGGCAAACTAATTGTCTAATACTATTACAGTAATGTTGTACTGAAATGGTATTAGATGTGACATTTAATGTAACATGAGATGCACCCTAGTAGCCAATACTGAAACAGACCTGACAAAATCTGTTTTTGAAAGTGTTTTTCCTTCCCCTTTTTACAGGCACAATGGTGCTGACAGAGAATATAAGGCTTGACTTACCAAGTCGGACTTTATTGAAGCTCCAAGCAAAGGCCTGAAGGGCTGCTGGCTGGAAAACATTTGCACATCCCTTCCCTCCCCCAAAAAACCTTTACCTAAGCTGCCTTTCAAAATTCTTTCACCCTGAACCTTTCTGGAAAGCATTCGCTCTGTCTTTTTTCCAAAATCCCTCTTGACCTTCCCTCCCCCTTTTTTCTGCTAAGTCTGTTTTACCAATTTTGTGGCCTCATTCTGCTTTTTTATAACCACAAACCGCATACTCCCCTAACTGTAAGTCATGAGAAAACAAACGTGCAACGTTCTTCTGGTCTGTGGGGTCATCAGCTCCATCACGGTATTTTATCTTGGCCTCAGCACGATAGAATGTCCAACAGCTCGTTCTCGCGCGGCACAGCACAGGTGGGCGGTTAATCTACATGCTGGCCGAAACCTAAGCGACCCGTTACAAATCCCTGAGGAATACAATGAGGAAACCCCTCTCATTTTTGTTGGCGGAGTCCCTCGTAGTGGCACCACACTGATTCGGGCTATGTTGGATGCTCACCCTCTCGTTCGGTGCGGAGAAGAGACCCGCGTCATCCCCCGGCTGTTAGCCATGCAGGCCACGTGGAGTCACTCTGCACGTGAACGGATCCGTCTGGACGAGGCTGGCGTCACCGATGAGGTCCTGGATGCAGCTGTACGTGCCTTCCTGTTGGAGATCATAGTGGGGCACGGCGAGCCCGCTCCGAGGCTCTGCAATAAGGACCCTTTCGCTCTGAAGTCCCTTTCCTACCTCTCCAAGCTCTTCCCAAAAGCGAAGTTTGTTCTTATGCTCCGCGATGGCAGGGCCACCGTACACTCTATGATTTCCCGCAAGGTGACTATCACCGGGTTTGACTTGACGAGTTACTGGGACTGTTTGGTGAAGTGGAACCGAGCGGTGGAGGTGATGTATGACCAGTGCCTGGCTGCAGCGGATGGCAACTGTCTGCCTGTGCATTACGAGCAGCTGGTCCTGTACCCTGAGTGGGTGATGCGCAAGCTCCTTCGGTTCCTGGATCTGCCGTGGGACACCGCCGTGCTGCACCACGAACAGCTTATTGGGAAAGCCGGTGGAGTTTCACTGTCAAAGTGAGTTTGATGCTTTCAGCTGTTTGTTTTATTTGTCACACTTTTTGTCATATTCACATCCTTGATGATATCGGATAAAGCCTATATTAAAGTTCTTTAATTTTTGTCTAAATAAATGGAAAATGAAACACTAAAATAAGTTTTGAATGCAACCTTCTAAGCACACCTTGGCCATAGAATTAAATGTTTTATTTACCCACCAAACTGATACTATTTTATATATTATGTAATATAATTAGACTACTTTTGGATTACTTTTGACCGAATTCTTTTATTACATTGATTTAAATAGGATAATCTTGTACCATATTGATTTACTTGCATGTTATGTGACAATTAACCAATGTCAAAGAACCGTGAGCATGCAAATGTGATAATAATTATTAAAATATTTATTTTAAAATCTCAGGGGTACTTCAAGTAAATATATTAGGTGAAAGAGATTCAGATGAGAATAAAGTCTCTGCCTTAATCTCTGCTTTACACAGGGTTCCCACGCTTCTTGAAAGTACTTGAATTTCAGACATATGGATTCAAGGCCTGGAAAGTACTTGAAAACAAACATAGGTCCTTGAAAGTGCTTGAATTAAATTTGAAATACATTTTGTTTATGGCGCTATTTAAAAATTGTCATATATGTTCTGTCGAACAAGCGGCACTAATGATTGGGGGTGGAGATGGGGGAGCACGAAAAAAAAAACGTGTGTGTTGACGCGCAGCCTAGAGACCTGAGCGGGACAGTTTTCTTAAGCCCGCTCCCCCTTAATTTCTGACCATTACCGCCCACTCCCGCAACGTGTGTGTCACGCTCCCGCAAACATTCTTATTGTCTTATTGTATATATTTCATCAACGAAAATAGTTCCAAATATAGTAACAGCTGAGCCGCTGCGCATCTCTAAAAGCAAACACAGCCGAGTTTCATTCATGAATGAAAGTGCGTATTTGAACGAATCTAGTGAGTCAGTGATTCATGATTACCCATTCATAAAGATTTCATTCCTGAATGAATCAGCTGTTCAAACGAATCAATTGAATGAATGATTCAGTGATAAAATCAGTGACTTACCGCCACCTGCTGGTGGATTTAGTTTAATTTTTAGCGTATAATTGTATAATTTCAGTTATTTAAATCATTAAATATTTTATATTTAAAACATTAATCTCCACATGAATATATGAATTTAATTGCACTCATGCCACCTCTGAGCCTCATTAAACGTCTGGGAATGTACCTACAAGCCAATTTTGTGTACTTCTGTGCCACCTCTGTAGTACAAATAAATTTTTTAATACTAATTTCATGTGATTGGTAACTTATTTGTCTTATTCTTATTCTTATTATTATATTGTTTTAAATAGAAATTTTAAAAAGCTTATCAACATAAATTTTTGAATTTGACAGATGAAAATGATGCCATTACAAACGTAAAAAGAAAATACTCCTGTAAGTCACTTTAAGGAGTCAAATGT